TCTCTCTCTCTCGACGACGTTCTCTACCAGTGACAGAGGACGCAGAGGAGGACGCCTCGTCGTCGTCGCCGCCTACGCGCTGCTACATACTACACCTCTGCTGCACGCCTTGCTGCGCCTGCCGACTGACCCCATCGACCCGCACCGACAATAACAACTCACTCGACGGCGGAGAGCAAATAATTAGTTTGTGAGCGAGGAGTGCAGGGCGCGGCGGGTGCAGCGCCGACACTGGACAGTATAATTGGCGCAACCGAAACATTTCTATCGGGACTCGATGGACTCGTCCGGCCGGCCGTCGGCACCGCCTGACGTGACGGGCTTTCGTCCTCTTTCCCTGCCCGCTGCAGTCCCAGCACTAGCTGTCCGGGTGTCGTCGCCCGCCCCGTTATCCGAATAGGTCGGATTTTTTTAAGTCCAAGTTTTATTTTTCGGAAAAAGTGGCAGAAAAATTGACCTAGAACGCCCACCTTTTCGTGGTTGCCCCATCCCATTGGCCCCCGCCGTACTTTTAGTTTGGTACGGCATGTAGTTGTATGGGGCGGGATTGCCTACCGCCACTCACCGTAGCGCCGCGAGGGCGCCGTGCGAGTAGGCAACTCGCCTACGCGCCTGGATGGTGTTCAGGGTACAGCCAAACTGAAGTACGGGGCCTATGAGACACACCCTCTAGAGCACGCATAGCAGACGTCCGAAACGTTTTACGGGTTGGTTTCCGGACCGGCGGCGGTTCAAGAGAGGTCAGTGCCAGGGCGTTAGGGCAGGCGTCCGAGCGCGGGGGCGGAGGCGGGGGCCCCTGCCAAAATGATTTGCGTGTGAAGATCAACTCAACGGGTGTCGAGTGACCGCCCTGTAGTTTGGCACCCGGGGGCGGGGTCGGGGGCAGTATGGGCTCGGGATGGGTTCGGCCGCCCCCTCCCCCGCGCCGCCGCCGCCGTCAGCTGTGCGGACAGGCGGGCTGCCCGTCCGGGTGGACGAGGGTCTCGAAAACAGACGAAAACCGATAATTGCAGTTAATCCACTCAACACGGCTCTGCCTGTCCCGCGCGCGGCGCGAGGCTCGGCGGCGGCGGCGCGGGGGGAGCTCGGCCAAAACGGCGACTTCCTCACGTTTCAATCCACCGGCCACTAGTGTGTGTGAGTGTGTGACTGGTGCGACCGAGAGGAGTCACGTAAAAGAAAACAAAAATAGTCAGACACGAAAAGAGTGTAAAATTAGATGAGAAAAAAGTCATATTGAGGAAATATTTTTAAAACAAAATCTTTATCAAAACTGGAGCGAAAACCGGCATGCTGTCTTTCTCAAAACGGGAAAATGTTACCCCTTCGGTTAGAGACAGCCAGTCACACTAGGCACTGTCGAAAAGCGAGGGAAAATGCCAGAAAAATAATGAAAGAAGAATGAAAAGTCGGTGTGTGTGTGTGTGTGTGTGTGTGTGTGTGTACGCTCAGAATCTGTAACTGATGTACCCCTACACACCGCTACGTACCCTCTGCTAAAGTAGCTGCTGGTCTGGGTATTAGCCCCCGCCCCGCCTTGTCCGGCTCACCCCCTGCTTGTGTTACCACATGGCCACGGTCGGGCGCGCCCGCGGAGGAGCAGGGTGCGCGTAGGAGGCCGGTTGACTCGTGCCGCGCCGCGCGCCGCCGCTGTGTGGCGTCACGCCCCGGCGAACGCGCGCGCCCCCCGGCCACCCCTAATCGCGCACGGCATCGCGAGCCACCCTCCTCCCTCTCCTCCTCTCCTCCTCCTCCTCCTCCTCCTCCTGCACAGGAGGACGCACGGCCGCCTGTTGCTGTCGCGACTGGCCGGTTGAGCAGGACGGCGCGGGGCGCCGCGGTGTACAACCAAAGGTATACACTACCCAAAGGTCGTCGTGGTTGGTCGAGGTCGTGTGGTGAGGTTGTCAATATTATGACCCGCCGACTTGCCTACCTTCCGATAACGCCCTTCGTCCTCTCCTTTTTGGTCCTTACTACTTACACCTGCTAAAGCGCTCCCTCTACTGTTGCAAAAGCATACACTGCCACGGCAAAATAAGTTATGATGTACAAGGTGGCTGATTAACCCCGCGCACTTCTGTAGTTAGACTGTACGGCACGCACGAGTGCGGGCGGGTTGCCTACTCGCCTGGCCCGTAAGGCGCCGTGGACAGGGGCGGGCGATAGGCAAGCCTGCCCGCCCTCCTGCGTGCGGTTCAGTCTAACTACAGGAGTGCGCGGGGTTGATCGGCCACCTGGTAAAACGAGTATCCCGTGGATAAAATTGACAACGACTGCATTTGACAATATGTAGCCGCTGTCACAAACGGGTGTGGATCGCCCATCATGAGATCATGAGTACAGTCGACTCTTTTTCAAGGCAAAAAACAAAAAGTGCTACCACCAAAACTATCGAAAAAATTATGCACAGTTCCTATTTTTCATTCGGGTGGGAACTCCATCCCCCACCCCCTGCTCATCCACAGACCAATCAGCTGGTGGCGGAGGGGCGCAATAACAACCCGAATGAATGGAGGGCGATAGTGGGGGTCCCCCCGGGTCCCTACCGGGTGCGCCCCTTCCCCCTCCAGCCGGAGCCCGGAGGCGGCGGGGCCCCTGGGCCCGGGCACGGGCACAGGTCAGAAGGAAGGAAGGGCCCCCAGTCAGTCGTCTCAGCAGCGCCTCCGAGCAAGGTACTACAGGCTCCCCTCTGGGCTCCCCGATCTCTCGCGAGTCCGCCAGCGCGCGCCCCGTCCGCCCGTCGTCCTAGCACGTCGCCGCCATGGCCGAGACCCTGCTGCGCACCTTCGAGCCCTTCCCGGCCTTCTACCCGTACGGCCACTACCAGCAGCACGACCCGCAGCCGGAGCCGTCCGGCTACCAGTACGAGTACCAGTACGAGCACCACGCCGCCGACGAGTACCAGCCGGCGCTCAGCCCCGCGCCCGCCAGCCCCCGCTCCTGGAGCAGCGGCAGCGCACCATCCTCGACACCGTGCTCCGACGAGGCCCCGGGCTCCACCTCGTGGCCGCCGTTGCCGTTGCCGACGGCCGCCGCATCCTCCGCCTCCTCCTCCTCGTCGGCGTCGTCGGCGTCCTGCTCGCCGTGCTCGCCCCCGCGCGGCGTGGAGGTCGTGAAGCGGCGTCGCCTGGCCGCCAACGCCAGGGAGCGCCGCCGTATGAACAGCCTGAACGACGCCTTCGACCGCCTCCGGGACGTGGTGCCCTCCCTCGGCTCCGACAGGAAGCTGTCCAAGTTCGAGACGCTGCAGATGGCGCAGACCTACATCGCCGCCCTCCGGGACCTCCTGGACCGCGAGGACTGAGATATGGAGGGAAGTCCCCCGGACCGCGAGGACTGAGGTCTGGAGGGAAGTCCTGAACCGTGAGAAAATGAGACCTAGAGGGAATAAGTCCTGGACCGCGAAGACTGAGAACTTTCACCGTGCGCCGGTTAGAGGGAAGTCCTCTCCACCACTAACCCATACCGACGACGTGTTGTGGCAGTGTTGCGGTGCTATGAGCTTGCTCGCCCTGGGGAATGAGTGATAATTTTGTTACGCGGGACGATTGTGTTTCTTTATTTTTCTGTGATATTCTTTTTAAATGATTATTTATTTGTTATGTTGTTAGGATAGGATGACCCCAGCAACGGGATGTAAATTTGATGTATAGCAACGGGGGGAGAAAGCCAAAATGCATGTTATTTTGAGGAGTGTAATCCGTTTTTCTCTCAGAATTTTGAGAACTGATGGGGTTCCTACAAACTGTGTAAAATGAAGTAAAAAAAAGTTTATAAGCAAGGCCATCTGTATTTTTCTGAAAATGTCTAATGAAGGTTCTTTGTTGTGGTATGTATTCAGACATGCTGTAGTCTACTGAATTTTCGATAAAGAATCTGGTTCATTTTTCTTATTATTTATTGAAAGGAAACGGGAATTAGTAATTACACCCCCTTGGATTAGATTGCTGCCAGCTCATAACCATTTGTTTCCTGATCCTTCAATTCAGTATTGTTCATTTTTGTGCTTTTGTTTCTCTGCCTCTTCACTGAAAATAAATGTAATGTTGAAACTGAATCTTTTTCACATTTTTGCCCGCTTTCATCAATCATTCAAGACGATAACTTGATATCTGCTTTTTACGTACAATTTATATAAACACACACAAAAAAGGACAATAACATTAAAATAGAACTTTGCACATTGCAAGACAAAAAATATTGAAGCATGACATCACCATCTTGGGCAAGCAAGAATTTGAATTTCCCGCGGAAGCCCGATGGAGTGGCGCCGCCTGGCGGTAGACAAGCGAAATATGAGTGTGCGTTTGGTGTGTGTGTGTGTGTGAGTGAGTAGTGTCGGCTGCTTTACGAGTTCATTCACAAAGTACAACTAGTACTCCCCCATTGATCTTGTTTGAGTTTCATTTTATTTTAAAGTTGTTAGGTTATTTACCATGTCGTTCGACGCTCTGTAACTCTAACGCAATATCAGGGCACAAATTATGAAGTAGAGGGTTGAGCACAGAAACGTTAGACGTTACTTTGTCTGTCAGTCAAATGTCAGCAACTGTAGGAAAGTGACTTTAGGAAGTAGTTTGATTAAGTATTTATTGCATCATGTCTCAGGAAAATGTTTCTGTTGATGTAAGCTGTTCATGGGAGAGCGCTAATGAGAAGACTCTCCTAGATGCTATTACCGTGGCAGAATTTTCTGCTAAGAAGAGGTTAGTATTTCCCCCATACATAGTTAATTTAGTAGCACAACAGGGTCATTCATATGTTGGGCTTAGTCTTGAAGAACTACAGAAATTGTACAACAAATTCTTTTTTCAAAAAATATCCATATATTTGGTCTTATACATTATTAGTTTATTCTTCAGAAATACTCGCGTCTATGTATAATCTATTTTTGTTATTTACAGAGATGAGGATGGTGCCTTAACTGACATGGTTGAGCTTGAGTCCTGTATACTCTTGACTCAACCATTAGAAGAGAATGGTAACAATGACAGGGTCTCACCAGAACCCTGCTCAATCACATTAAAACTGATGTCCAAATCTCCGTCAATTATTTCCAATTTGGTTGTAGCTTGTGAGGTGAGTTTTCAATGCTTTTTAACCAGTACGCATGATTGTTTTTTAACGTAGTGAAACATCTGAAAATTCTTTTCAAAGTTTTATCTAATAAATAGCGTATGTTTTTGTTTTTTACTTCAGGCAAAATTAATTGAAGTATATGGAGCTCACAATGAATATTTGATGACAGTTTCGGCAGATCTTATTGATCAAGTAGATGACATGGCTGTTTACTGTGCTGATATAGCAATTAATCAGTTAACACAAGACTGTACGCTAAAGGTAAGGTTACTTTTGCATCACTACTCCTGCAAACAATTCTCATCTGTATCCTAATCTCAATCTTTTTCTTTTGGCAGTTTGCAAGACTAAGTAGACCAACAGCCATGTGGCTTTATGGAATTAAAGTCATCTGGAACGTTGTAGATAATTATGAGAACACCAACAAGCACTTGGGTGTTAATTTTGAATCAGTGGAACAGCGCTTAAGAGAATCACACACTCAATTATCTGGAAAGGCAGAAAACTGCAAACAATTTTTGAAAATGTATAGCTCTCTTAATGACCAAAATAAGTCAGCTCTAGGCTTGTCTGACCCATTGTCACTTTTGTCTCTATTACCTGGCATAACAAGGGGAAAAAGAAGCGCAGACAACTCTTTTCTAAATTTTGCTTCTCAAAGCTTTAAACACTCAGGCGCGGGTGACTCGTCTAAACGATTAAACAGCGATGAATATGTATCTAGGGATTCTGATAATTCAAACAGCCATGCATGTTCTGACAAATTTGAAAGGATTTTAGAGAGGCACCTAACGTCCATGGAGAACCGCATAATGAAAGCTCTTGATGAAAAAATTGCTGCTATGCAACAACAGCAAGAGCAACAGTTACAATCTCTTATCAGTCTTATTTTACATAACAGGTCACCTATTGATGTTAGATTACAACCAAAAGACAAAGATTGTTCAAAGTTATTGGATCAAGATACAAAAATTGAGCAGGCAATTAAAAAAATGATAGATCATAAGCAAATGATATCATCGTACCATCAGGAGCCATCCCAAAGAAATTACATTGGAGAAACTAATGAGAATGTTTTGAAAAATGCTTTGATGGCTTTGAAGTTTAATGAAGTATTAGAAGGGACCTCACTCAGTGCTAATAGTACTAGTGCAGTTCAGGGTAATTCCTAAATGTACCTACTACAGTATGTAATTTAATTTACCTATGCTATTCTTCTATGTCTGTAAAATGTATTTTACCTATGCTGTACTTCTGTAATTATTGTTGGAGAAAAACTCCTTTCACTTCAATCATTTGGACTGCCCACAAGTGTGTTCATAAGCTACTTAAATTGAAATACTGCCTAGGTGTTCAGTGGTTTCCTCTATGAAATACTGTAGTAATAGGACTCTCATGGACAAAGAAAGTGATAACTGGAGAAAAGTCACTTATAGCTATATTGCAATAAAAAGATTTTTCAATCAGTAATGAAGAGTACTTAATCTAGATTTTCAAAATTATACACACAGGCACACACTCAAACATTCATAAGGGAAAAATCTACTCAAGAAGTAGGTTCTAAAACAAAGTTTACACATTTGAAGAAGCATCACAGTTAACATCTAGAGGAACCAATCTGACTAAATGGGATGTACGCTTAATCAGTTCAGGTGAAACTTTTTGGGGCCATGCGGGGTTGCAAAATAGTGTAAAGGTGTGAAAACATTAAAATGTAAAACAAGACAAACAATTATAGTCATAGCTAAGACAATATTAAATAGTCACAAAACTTCTATAAAATTAGCACACTGCTGGAGTAACTAACAAGACTGGACACACTCTTTCGCATCACTCTCAGAATCAGACTGAGAAACTTCTCTCTTATACTTTGACTTGCGCTCAGACTTGGGTGTGTTTGGTAAACTTTCTGACATATCAGATGTGGTGTCAGTGTAGTCTGACAGGTTATCCCAACTTGAAACAGAATTCAAAAAATAATTAAAACATAGTAATTGATTAAAATTTGACAGTAAGAAATATTGGGGGATGATAGATAGATTACTCACTTATCTGGGAATTCTGTGGGGGCTTCTTCCCCATCCTTAGGAGGATCCCAAAAATGCAACTTTTGCCGCCATACTTTAACAAGTCCATCCCATGCTCTTCGGCTATACTTTAAATGCTTAGGTGGAGTTTTCGGGTGCTTCTTTTCTCGTTTTTCTCTAAAAAATAAAAAATAAAATTGAAATGACAAGTAGGTAGGACAATAATAGCTCCTCAAGTTGTTTTTTTGCAAGAACTGGCAGTATAAAAATGATTCAATGTCATACATGCATTAAATAAAAATTGAACTTACTTGGGCACCATCTCCAGATATCTTTGGTAACCTAGAGTATTTTTGCCATATTCTACTTGTTTGGCTCTTCTACCCAATACTTCCTTGTCTGTTTCAAACTGTAATTTTGGAGCTCGCACTTTAGGACTTCCACTCTTTGATGGAGGGCTTGTGCTGGAAAATCAAAACTATTTAGATAGAAAAAGAGTTCATTACCCTAGGAACGACCCGTATAAGAAATGTACTTACGAAACATGGGGAATTTTTGTTGCTGGACTTTCTTGCCCCTTGCTTTTTTCTCTAGTTCGTTTTCTAGAACCCTCACCCTTATTTGGGCTTCTCAGAGCATCTCTCAAGTCTCGCTTTTTCAGAAGTACAGCTTTGCGTGGGCTTGTCCTTCTAGTGCCAGTTGTATCAGCGTTTTCATCTTGCTTTAAGGGAGAATCCATATGTATATTAGTCATAATTTCTCTAATATCCTTGCAGGGGCTTTCCATGATCTTCTCATCCAAAATTCCAAAACTCTCAGATTCAGATGATTTATCAGGAAAAAGCGACCGTTTCCGTTCTTTTTTCTCTGGCGAGGAATAACTTTTGCTCGAATTAGGTTTAATCTTATCTTCAGTTTCAGATTTGATAGCCATTACTGGTGAGTTAGAAGACTTGGCACAGATTTGAGCAAATGTTAGTTTCCCAGGAGTAAGATTTGTTTTCTCTTCCTCCTTGACGTGAACTAAACTAGCCCACCCACTCTCTGCCCCTTTCAGCTTGACTTCAGCACCCTTTTCTTTCTTTTCCTTTTTCACTCGCACGGATCCCGACTTTACTTCTTTTTCTTCAGGAATGTCTTCCATAGGCTCTAACTTTACCACTACTTTATCAACATCCATTGGCTGGTCCACTGTGCTGTCTTCTCTTGAACATTTGCTGTTAGTCCTTTTGTCAGCTGGTTCTTTTTTCACTATTGATTTCACTGCTGGACTAGCAGATTCCCTTTCAAACTCTTCATCCTCCATCACCTCTAGCCAGCTCTTTCTACTGGACCGTGTTTCAGTCATCTGAAGAAAAATAAACAACAGGCCTTTAATAAGTGCAGTTACTAAATCAAAAACAATGGTACAGGGGTACATATGAACACGAAGAAATTGAACACAAAATAAAACAATAGATGTGAAGGTATACTAAGAAAGTTATCTCAGAAACTTGCTAGCCAAGAGTTCCAGGAGCTACCCAGGACTACAGCAAACAGAAATTACAGCGGGACATGCGAGAAAAAGTGCAGAGCGAAGTGGGGGACACTAGGAGAGAGATTGAACGGCTTGACTTGGATTTGAGCGATGTACAAGGAGATAGAAAATAATGCACCAGCGTTATCCTAACCTTCGATTTACCTTGCTATATTTTTTTTCTGCCCGGCGAGCTTCAGACCCAATTACTGAGGATGCGTCCGCGACAGCGTCATCAGAGAGAAGAATCAGAATGGGCTTCGGAGTGGCGTCGGTCTACAACGGAAAATATCACCCCTATTTGTTCTACAACTACCCCACTAAGTTTGCGTTGCGTCCCCCAAAAGTACAATAACATTCGTCCCTGGAGCGCGGGAAACTCGCGCACTCAACGATCAACTGTTTTGGTTCGCCCGCGAATCGGACCACCAACCACCAACTTGTGAGAGTTTCGCCCGACTCCAGCCTTTATTTCGTGACAAATTAGCCATTCCTTCCGTGTCTAATGCACCATAAATTTGAACGTGCTGTACTTCATTGAACGCTTTGCTTTACGCAGCCGGTGGACGGCAGTGGGGAAGACCGCATCCTGTTTCGTAAACTAGGTTGGTACGCCCTGCTTATTGACCGCGAGATTTGAAAGATCCTCCTGATGCGTCGACAAGCATGCATGCAATGCGAATTCACTCTCTAGACATTAAGTGCAGCTGGAAAAATCCACTTTTCTTTGTCAAAAAAAGGTACAAGGTAGTAATAGAATATGGCATTTTATTAGAATTAAAATTACATAAAGTCATGTGGGAAGAGTTGACAGCTTTTCATAAGGATTACAAGATATGATAAACCACAATTGTCAGAAAACATATTTTAACTAAAATAAAAGAAAAGGAACTGTACACACTTGAAATCCAAAGGGGATTTTTCATATGAGTACTGAGCGCAATGCTTCTTCCATTTACATTTAAAACCTTAAACATAAAAAAAAAGAACTCAAGTTGACTTGAAGCAGATCTGCTTCAAACAGTGTAAAAGGCCAGCATACACCCAAATTAGGAAGAATAGCCAGTAATGCAGAAACATATTGTAAACACCCCCACTAGTTAGGGGTTGCTTTCAGTGGACGTATCCTGTGAGTTGTCCAGCTCCATTGACGTCTCAATGGTGGTGGAACTCAGAGAGGAGTCCGCCGCCACCGGCTTGTCAGAGATTTCCGAGTCGGACTCCGACTCTGCGTCCGACGGTACCTCCGAAGCGGTGTCCGAGGCCGCCAGGGTGGGTGCCGAGGAGGGTGCCGAGGAGGGCGCCGGGGAGGGCGCCGAGGAGGGCGCCGGGGAGGGCGCCGGGGAGGCCCTCGGGGAGGCCCTCGGGGAGGCCGCGCCCGAGGCCGTCGTGGCCGTGGACGCCTCCGACAGCCCGCCGCCGTCGTGCTTGTGTAGCCCGAAGTGGGTCATCTTGACGTGGCTGCGGAGGTCCTTGGGCGACGAGAAGTTGGCCGGGCAGGCGGAGCAGGTGAAGGGGATGGTGCTGAACCGGTCGCGCATGCTCCTGTCGGCGGCCAGGTGGTGCTCCTGGACGTGCGCCCGCAGGCGGCACGCGCGCCCGAAGTGCAGCCCGCACTGGGGGCAGTCGTGCTCGCCCTGGCCGATGCGCTTCTCCACGTCCAGGAACTGGTTCATCGTCAGCTCCTGGAGCTCCCGCCTGAGCTCGCGCTTCTGGCCGCGCGTCAGCAGGGGCTTGTGGTCTCGCGGCGAGTAGTCCTCGTCACCCTCGCGCCGCCGGCGTCGGCCGCGCGGCCCCGGGGACGACGGCGGCGTGGAGGCGGCCGCGGGCTTGCTCGTCTTGGCGCGCTGCAGCTCTGCGAGGGCGCGCCGCCGGCGCCGCAGCTCGGCCGCGCAGCTCGCGTTGGCGCGCTGGTGCTGGGACAGCGTCACGGCGCTGCCGAACTCGCGCCCGCAGACTGCGGACAATAGAGAGTAACGGCCAAACGGCTACATGAGTCACGTTGGAAAAAAAATTGGGGGGGGGGGGCACGGCCTCCCTAGCTTACCCGTGTCCACCTTGAAGGCCGGAGGGAAGCGGATCACCAGCTCCTGGCCCGCGGGGATGTCGCACAGGGTGACGAAGTACAGCCGGCCGCCGTACTCCATGGGGCCCAGGTTGACGTGGCGCTTCAGGTCGCGCGCCTCGGCCGCGTCCCTGACCAGCGCCATCCAGTTGTTCTATGGAGCAAGAGAGAGAGGCACGGGGTGAGTGATCGCGCAGGAGACTTGGCTACAA